AAAAAAAAATAGAAGATTAAAAATTATAATAAATGAAGAGATAAATTCATAATACTGAAATTACCAGACATTTGTCAATTTTTTGGATTTTTATAACAATGAAATTGTGGAAAAAAATTACAAATGCAAATTTGTTTCACAATTTGCTATAAAAATTTAAAAAAAAGTTTTTCCACTGAAATTGACAGATATTAAAAATTTTTTTATAATTTTATGGCAATAAAATTATTCTGAAAAAAAATTTCACATGTAAAAATTAAAGAAAAAATTATTACTGGAAATTTTAAGAAGTATTTTACTATTAATAAAGTTAGCCGTCATTTTTAATTTTTTAATTTTGCTTAATTTATTAAATTAGAACTAAAAAATATTTTTAAAAAATTGCACATAGTTTTTGAAGTTTTTTTATAAATGAAAAAAATTTAATGAGAATTAATTTAGCAGATATTTTATAATTTTTTTACCACAAATAAATGATGTCAAAGAAAATGAGAAAAAAAATTGACATTTAGAAAATTAAAAAAATAAAAAATGCAATTTCTTAGAAATAATTTTTTGGAGCAAATTTATTTATTAAAAAAAAATTAAAAAATGATCAAGCGACTGCTAACTTTATTTTCATAAGTATTTTTTAAATTAAAATTGATTTTTTTATAAAATTAAAAAAATTGATAATTGTCAGCTAACTTCAATATGATTCTCAGTTGAGATAAATTAATAAGACCATACCAGAATAATTATAACTGAGTAAAGTAAATGTAAATGAATTCAAACAAAAAAGTTCCGACATCGTTATAGAAGTATACAAGAACTTTTCTCGCGGAAGGGGTTTGACTTCTGGGAGGAGAACCCAACAAGCAAGCAATCCTCTTGTTCGTGCTCGGTGATGTATTTCATTATGTCCTCGACAGCTTTGCTGACAGTGATGCGCTTGATAGCGGCTTCGCGTCGGAGCTGTTCGGTCACTTGACGTTGCTGTTGTATATTTGTGATCACCATGTCCATAACCGCTGTATCTGACAGGCCTATTTTCGGGCGTGGTAGTTACACTTAACTATTTAAACACTCAGCCGCGAGGGCTATTCACACACAAACTTGTTGCTGCCGCTGGTGATGTAGCTACTGCTTTTCTGCTATTGCTGTTACTCACTTTTTTAGATTACTTTATAAATATATATATGTGTTTATATATAATAGATTTTTATGGGTAATATTTGGGCGTCAATATTCTGACGACCAACGTTGTTATTTTTATTTTAATTTACACTCAATTTTGTTTATTTATTGACAATTTGTTTTATTTTTTTTTGACAGCTGATGTTTCAGTGCAGATTAATTTTAAAGAGCAGTTATTGTAGTATAAGTCAAAGTCACAAGTGAAGACAATAATGGCGATCACTATTATTTGCGTCCGGCTTGAAGTTTACTGATGCTTTAATTTTTTGTAAGGCTGCCACAATTAAAAAATTAAAAACAAAAAATTTTTTGTCAAGTAAAAATTATTTTTACATTGTTAAATTCATTGTAAAAAAATTTTAATTTTTAATTTTTAAATATTTAATTTAGTAATTTTCAATAATTTTGAAAAAATTTTCAATTTTTTTCTTGAAAATAATTTTTGAAGATTTTTTAATTTTATAAAAAAAAAAACTGAAAATTGAAACAAAAATTAAAAATTTAGTTGGTAGTAAATTTTTTTTTTAATGCGCAAACATTTAAATAATTATTTTCTTCAAGTTGGTACTAAACATTGTAGATGGCGGTCACCTGACACACTTCAGTCCACTAGTCCACTATTAAAATAAAGTTGGTTGACGGTACATGTGAGAAATAAATATAATTAATAAAAATGGCTTTACACGTTCCAAAACCACCGGGTTTTACCGGTATGATGAAAGAGGGTTCACGAGTAAGTAAAATAAATCAATAAATAATAATTTTTCATTTTTTATATTTGTATTAAAAATAATTAATTTCTCCACCGGCATGCTCCAACGCCTTGTCCTACTCCATTGCCTTATATGGACAATAAATTTTCTATAGATATTTTACTTAATTGTAATAATATTGACGATTAATTTTTATTTTTTTTTTCCTAGTACTTCAGTGGACTCGAGGAAGCAATTTACAGAAACATCACTGCGTGCAAAGAATTCGCACAGACATTGCGCACTGCCTATGGTCCCAATGGTATGAACAAAATGGTAATCAACCATTTGGAGAAGTTGTTTGTAACTAGTGATGCTGGTACGATTATGAGAGAGTTGGATGTTGAGCATCCCGCGGCTAAGATTATGGTGATGGGGTCCGAGATGCAGGAAGCCGAGGTTGGAGATGGTACCAACTTTGTTGTTATTTTTGCTGGAGCACTTCTTGAAGGTGCTGAGGAGCTTTTGCGACTTGTAAGTATTTTATCTAAAAATATTAATTATTTTGAAATTAACAGATATTTGTCAATTTTTTAAATTTGACTACGATTTATTTTATAATAAATTATACAAAAAATTTCACATTTATAAATTTTATAAAATTATAATATCAAACTAAAATTACCAGACATTTCGCTTTATTTGAATTTTATTTAAAAAATAAATTAATATTAAAAAATTGCGCTTATCTTTTTTTTACAAATTCTGCATGTGAATTTTTTTTTCGAATTTTTTTATTGCTAGGGTAAATGTTCCAGTAGTTGACCGCTTTCATAAAAAAGTCCGAAAATTATTATTAACTGCATTTTTTATGACCCTGAAATTTATTTTTAACTATTGTTGAACTTATAATCATTACAATAAATAGGTATTCCAGATTTTATTTAATTTTTTAGAACATCGAAAATAATTCATGAAAATTTTTCACCGCATAATCTGACTCAAATCGGTCAAATACTATAGTAGAGTATCCGAGAGGCGACTACATGTTTTAGTTAACAAAAAAGTTTCTATTAGGTTAATCTTGCCAAATTAAATTCTGAAGTAGTCTTTAATAGTTTCTTAACAAATCTCTCAATAAGATTTGATAAAAACAATCAAGTAAATACCAATTCAACGACCGGTCAGATACTGGCACAATAAAACACCGTTGTACCATCAATAAATGACCTCGGTCATCTATTGGAACCTGCTATTTTTCAAAACACCAGTAATTGACCGCATGCACAATTGTAAGTTTTTAACCTATATAAAATAAAAATATAAATATGTTTACGTGATAATATTATGTTTACATAAGTGTTGTTATTTAAAATAATTTATAATTATTAAATTATTAGTAATAAAGAAGTATTTATGCTTATTGTTTAATGTGTTTCAAATAAGATGATTGTTGAGTCAAGTTTAAATTTGTACACCGATAGAAGGATTTATTAGCTATTAATAATTTAATTTATTTAGGAGAAAAGAGTACATTTGTTAATAGTTAATAAGTATTTCTTTATATTTAACCAATATTTATAAACAGGTAATAAATATTTTATTGAGTGAATTTAGGTTTCGCTTGCAATATGTCATACTTATATTATGAAGATTGCTTATAAGCAAAAATTATCTTTACAAATTATTGATATTAATTACATTATTTTATAATAACGTTTGCTGTAACATAACAAATTTTATCACAGCTCAAATATCTTTTATATTTTTAATTATTAAGAACGTTAATTTATTTAGTGAATTGAATTATTATCATGTATTAGCTGTAGGGTTATAAAAAGTGTCAAAAGAAAATTGCTATTTTTGCTTTTCATTTTAAATAAATATTTTTTAAAAGTTAACAAATATTCATTAACACTTAATAAATCGTATTTTATAAATAATTTATAAACTGTTAATAATTGCATACGTGTGCCTCAAAAAAATGTTTTGCTTTTGTCATTATTGAATCGAAGTTTAATTTACTAATCTGTTGCTTTTTTATTATTATTAGTTTTGTTCTAAACTAAACGAATTTTGTTTACTACCAATACAAATCTAATTTAAATAAATAAGCATAAAAACTTTATACATTAAACATAAAAAACTAATTAAAATTTACAAAATAACCAATGTTTGATAATCGGTCAACTACTGGAACACTCCGGTCAATTTACTGGATCAAGCCGGTCAACTACTGGTGTTTTTATCTTACCTTCATTTAAACGTGAATTTATATGTAATTTTATTAATAATTATTTTAAATAACATCACATATCAAAAACTTGAATATTTAAGGTTCATATAAACTTAAAATTTTTAATTTTTAGCGTATAATAATTTAATTACGATCAATTACGATCGAAATGCCAAACATCCTTAATCGGTCAACTACTGGTGCATTTACCCTACAATTTGTTATAAAATTTTAAAAAGTTATGAAATGTCTCTCAACTCATGAAAATTAAGTTAGCCAACATCTAAAAATTGAAAAAAAAAATTTTTATTGAAAAAATTGTAACAAAAAAAAATGAAAAAAAAATTTAATTTGTAAAAAACTTTAAATGCAATTTTTTAAAAATGTTTTTTAAGTTCTAATTTCATAAATGAAAATAAAATAAAAACGTCGGCTAACTTTAATATTATTCTCAACTTATATTTTTATAAAATTTTTTTTAATTACTAATTTATTTCTAAAATAGAACAAAAAATTATTAAATATATATGCTGATTACAGTATTATAAACATGAAGTCATATTAATTAAAATAAAATATAAAAATATTGATTAATAAAAATTTTTTTAGGGTATCACCACATCAGAAATAGTCCTAGGATACGAAACAGCGTTGGAAGTGTCTTTGGAATTTTTAAAATCCCTCGTAGCCTACGAAATCACGGATGTCAGAAATGTCGAGGAGGTTAAAAAAGGTTTGAGGGCTGCAATAATGAGTAAACAATACGGAAACGAAGACTTCCTGGCTGAGCTGATCAGCGAGGCCTGTGTGTCTATTTTACCCGAGAAAACTACCTTCAACGTTGACAACGTTAGGGTTTGCAAGATTTTGGGTGCTGGTTTGCATACGTCGCGTGTTATTCAGGGTATGGTGTTCAAGAGACAAGTCGAAGGCGATGTCTCCAAACAGCTTAACGCTAAGATAGCTGTTTATACTTGCCCTGTTGACATTACTCCCACCGAAACTAAGGGTACTGTCTTAATCAAGAGCGCTGCCGAGCTTGTTAACTTCTCACGGGGCGAGGAGTCGCTTCTCGAGTCACAAATTAAAGCTATCGTTGACACCGGAGCTAAAGTTATTGTTTCTGGTGGAAAAATTGGTGACATGGCACTTCATTTTCTCAATAAGTACAACATTATGGTTGTACGCATTCCAAGTAAATTTGACATCAGGCGTCTTTGCAAAGCTGTTAATGCTACTGCTTTGTCTAAACTGGTAATTTTTTATTTTATTTTACAGTCAATTTATTTATTTATCTTATTTTACTTCTGGTACACATTCTATAGAGGTGCATAGACACCAGAAAAATATAATAATATTTAATAGTATATACATAAAGTTAAATAATCATTAGCTAATGCAATGTACAAAGTATAAAGTATTCCAATTACTAATTATACAATAATTTGCAATGTTATTATAATATCTTAATTTATAATTCAATAGATCTAATCCACTTCTCAAAATTATTATAGAAAATTTAATTTTCTGATAAAAAGAATGATAATTATTTACAAGTGGGGTCAACACATGCTCGGTCATGTTTAATTTTTTTATTGATCAAATTGATCAATTTTTTTTTTTTTAATTGTTCGTTTTTTTATATACTTTAAAAAAAAAAAAAAAATGTTCAAAAAAATAAAAAAAAAAAAAAAAAAAAGTTGTATCAAAAACATCAAAAAAAGATAAAATAGAAATTTTATCCAAAAACATGAAAGGCAATTTTTTTCCAACTTTTAAAGGCAAAAAAGCTATCGAAATCTTTATTTTTTTCCTTTCAAGACAATTTTTATTATAAATGTGCCGTAAAAACAAGTAGCATAAAAAAAAAATATTAATTTTTCACTTAGTTATGACCCAAAATCAGATTAACCCCACTTGTAAATAATAATCAAAAGAATTTTAAATGAATTTGTTATAAAGGAATTATTAATATTTATTTTTAAAAATTATTTTATAGACTCCACCAACTCAAGAAGAACTTGGATTTGCTGACTCAGTATACACTGATGAATTAGGAGATACCGAGGTTGTAGTATTCAAATTAGACAACAAGGAGAGTAGAATTAGTACCATAGTCGTACGAGGCTCCACTGAGAATCACATGGACGATATTGAACGTTGTATTGACGACGGTGTTAATACATTCAAAGGGATAACTAGGGACGGTAAATTCATAGCAGGAGCTGGAGCTGCGGAAATTGAACTGGCTGCTCACGTTGCCACTTATGCTGACACCCTTCCTGGTTTGGATCAATATGCTGTCAGGAAATTCGCTAATGCGCTTGAAGTTTTCCCCAAAACTCTTGCCGAGAACACCGGAACTCGCGCTTCTGAACTGTTGTCCAAATTGTATGCGGCTCACAAGGAAGGAAAGAAGTTCCATGGTTATGATATCGAGGTAATGTTTTTTTTTTTTTTTTTTTTTTTTTTTTTAATAAAGAGATATGTAATTATTCATATGTTTATTTATTAACAGGGAGCTGGAGCAGCATTAGTAGACGCCGTCGAAGCTGGAATCTTGGACTCATACAGAACAAAAGAGTGGGCTTTGAAATATGCGGTTAATGCTGCCTGTACTATCCTGAAGGTCGATCAAATAATAATGGCCAAGCGCGCCGGTGGACCTAAAATGCCACCTCAAGGAGGCGGACACAATAGCGACGATGAATAAAAACATTGAGACTGTTGGCGACAATAAACTTATTGTTTTTATATCTTGTCCATTTAATTACATTAAATTAAATACATTACATAAAAAAAAAATTTATAAATAGATTAACAGAGAAAACGCAGATCTTGGAAAAAAATCTCGGGATATTTTTTCAGATCTTTAATCTTAACACGAAAGCGGATCTAATTTTTTTCTATAAAAACCTAACGCTTTGCACTTTTCTACTCATCCAATCACGCAATTTTTTGTCATGTAATTATTTATTAAGAGATAAAATTTAATGTTTTAATAAAAATCGTAATTTTCAGAAAGTTTACTTGATTTAATTGTCAATCTAAAGTTTAGAATAAGTGAAAGATGAAGAAGGTGGAAAATAAATTTTAAAGTTTGTCAAATCGGAGCTCTGCAAACAAATACATATATTCATAAAGTTTATGAATATATTCATATTTATTTCGGCGAAAGCTGCAAATTAAATTACAGACCTTAAAAAAAATATTAAAAAATGATAATAAAATCCAAATGATAATACCGCCCACTAAAGTGAAATATAACAATAAAAAGTCGATATTTGTCTTTTCACTTGTTTTGTTATTTTTGACTAAATTTTATCTTGTGAACGAAGCGGGCTTGTTTTTTTTTTTATCGTTGAAAGGTCTAGAATTTTATAAAATATAATATTTCAGAATCTTTAGAAAAGTTTAAAAATAAGATTTTTTTTTAAATATACACGTGGATTGGTGATAAAATCTAAATATTGGAATTGTAAATCTTATCAATATTTTTTACAACCAAGTTTGCAGTAAATGAAATAAAAACAAACTCTCGGAACAAATAAAAATTCAATAAAGCAATTTATCGTTACTAAAAATAGTCCTTTTTCTAGAACAATTGATTATTCTCATAGATTATTTATGTAAAAATTTTTAGTCGCGTGTTTATGTCCAGAGGGTTGAAATTTCAGACTGCAGATCTAGATATTTCTCGGATTGACTGGAAAAGTCTCCATAAGTCAGACTATATAAATACCGGCAGCATATGAGCCGCGCAATTTAGTATTGAATCAGACTTGAGCGCGTAAACGACGCAATTTAAGTTCAACTACACTTCTTTTAAGTAAATATATATAACAAAAACATCAATTAATAATTAGATAATTACAAATTATAATTATAACTTTGTGTGGTAATTTACATTATTAGTAAAACTAATATTAGTGAATCACTGACTGTTAATTAAATTAACACCGTCCAGAACAGACGCAAAAATGCCTGCAATTGGAATTGATTTAGGAACTACATACAGCTGGTAAGATATTTATTTTAATTATATAATTAATTTATTAATATACTTTAATTTTTTTATTTTTAGTGTCTGAAAATTTATCAAAATAATTTTTATAAATTATACCGATAATTATGATACTGTAATTAGTAAAAATTTGAATTTTAATAACCAATCAATTATTGTAAAAAAAAATATTTAAAAAAATTCGTACATTTAATTTTTATGAAAAAATATTTTTAAAAAATTGCATTTATAGTTTTTTAAATTTTTTACGAGTGAAATTTTTATTTTTTTGTAATTATATTTTTAATAAGAAGAATCATAAAAAAGTTAAATGTCTGCTGAATTCAGTGTCATTAATTTTTTTGAATTTCTGCATGTGAATTTTTTTTGGTAAATATTTTTCATTACAATTTAATTGTTATAAAAATCTAAATAATTTTTAGATGTCTGTCAAATTTAGTATCATCAATAATTTTGAATAAATTGTGTTTTAAGATTTCAAACTATTTTTAGTACATAAAATTTTTCTCAAAACTTTTCTTCACAAGTTTTGATTCCTAAAAATAATTATTAATAGAACAGTATATTTTTACAAATAAAATTCTATTTATAATTAATAATCAAAATAATCCACTTCGATATTAGTAATAATTAATTATTTATAAAATATTTAGCGTGGGCGTTTGGCAGCATGGAAAAGTTGAGATCATCGCCAACGACCAAGGAAATAAAACAACACCCAGTTACGTAGCATTCACGGACACTGAACGTTTGATAGGCGATGCGGCCAAGAACCAGATAGCCATGAATCCCACCAACACCGTTTTTGACGCAAAACGGTTGATAGGTCGCCGCTTCGACGATCCCAAAATACAAAATGACATAAAGCACTGGCCATTTAAAGTCATCAACGACCTTGGCAAGCCAAAAATCCAAGTGGAGTTCAAGGGAGAGCGAAAAATCTTCAGTCCCGAAGAAATAAGCTCGATGGTCCTCACCAAAATGAAGGAAACTGCAGAGGCGTATTTGGGCCAGAAGATCCAAGACGCGGTTGTCACAGTCCCCGCGTACTTCAACGACTCCCAGCGTCAAGCCACCAAGGACGCTGGTGCAATCGCCGGGCTGAATGTTCTGCGAATCATCAACGAGCCTACTGCAGCAGCTCTAGCTTACGGCTTAGACAAGAACCTGAAGGGAGAGAAAAATGTCCTTATTTTTGACCTGGGCGGTGGAACCTTCGACGTGTCCATTTTGTCCATCGACCAGGGTTCACTGTTCGAAGTGAAATCCACCGCTGGAGATACTCACCTGGGAGGAGAAGACTTTGACTCGCGCTTAGTTCGTCATCTGGCTCAGGAATTTCAAAGGAAGTTCAAGAAAGATCTTACTGGGAATCCCCGAGCTTTGAGGAGGCTCAGAACCGCGGCGGAACGCGCAAAGCGCACTCTATCGTCCAGTACCGAAGCTTCCATAGAAATAGACGCCCTCTACGAAGGCGTAGACTTTTATACCAAAGTTTCCAGAGCCAGGTTCGAAGAACTGTGCTCTGATTTGTTCCGCAGCACGCTGGAACCAGTGGAGAAGGCTTTGAATGACGCTAAAATGGAAAAGAAGGAAGTTGATGAAATAGTTCTTGTTGGAGGATCCATAAGGATTCCAAAAATTCAAACCATGCTCCAGAATTTCTTCAATGGCAAGCAACTCAATCTCTCGATCAATCCTGACGAGGCAGTTGCCTACGGAGCCGCAGTCCAGGCTGCTATTTTAACTGGAGATGGTGACAAAAATTCCGGGCTTCAAGATGTTCTTCTGGTTGATGTAGCTCCTTTGTCTCTGGGTATTGAGACTGCTGGTGGTGTGATGACTAAGTTAGTTGAAAGGAACTCTAGAATCCCTTGCAAGCAAACTCAGATGTTCACTACCTATTCAGATAACCAACCGGCGGTTACTGTCCAGGTGTACGAGGGTGAACGAGCTATGACTCAGAATAATAATCTTCTGGGTACCTTTGAACTGACCGGGATTGCACCCGCTCCTCGGGGAGTTCCAAAGATAGAAGTCACTTTTGATATTGATGCTAATGGGATCTTGCATGTCACAGCCAAAGACACTGCCAGTGGCCGCAGTCGTGACGTCGTTATTAGGAATGACAAAGGCAGACTCAGTCGGGCGGAAATTGACAAGATGCTGGCTGACGCGGAAAAATATAAAGATGACGATGATAAACAGAGAGAGAAAGCTGCTGTCAGAAACAAGTTGGAGAGCTATGTTTACTCGGTCAAGCAGAGTGTCCAAGATCAAGGCCACCGGCTGAGTAATGATGACAAAAATAAAGTTATTAGTCTTTGTGATGAAGCTGTTCAATGGTTGGACAGCAATACTCTCGCGGACAAAGATGAGTATCAGCATAAGTTTGAGACACTCCAGGCTCAATGCTCGCCGATTATGGTTAAGCTTCACCAGTCTCAAGGACAAGCTCAAGGACATAATGATGGCCCTACCATTGAAGAAGTTGATTAAATAGATTTTGTATTTTTTTTTTTATTTTTATTACTTGTTCTTCCTTATTGATGATTATTTATTAACAGCTATGTTGTACTGAATTTTTAAATAATAAATAAATTATAAAAATTATATTTAAGCTTTAGTTAAAATCTATTAATATAAAAATGAATTGCTGTGTATTAGTCTAGCTAAAACTCGAGAATGGCTAGACCGATTTGGCTAATTTTGATCTTGAAATATTTATGGAAGTTCACGAAGGGTTTAAACGGTGAGAAACATAAATAATAAGTAACAGAAAATACTTAAGACGACAATTTAGTTTTCCAATACAAAATGATCTTAGCTGTGAAGTAAAGTCCGATCTTTTTGGGCTGTTTTGTTTCCAGAAATAAAAATAAATAAATTTCAAGCCGATTAATAAAATCTATCACCAGTTTATCAGTGCGCAAGAGCTTTTTTATTGTTATTGTTTCAAAATCCCAAGGAGGCGACGACCTGACTTAGGTCGTCGAAGTCAATCAAATGTGCGACGAGCTACCTCACGTTCAAACCGCACTGACGACCATAAATAAATCGCAAGGCCTGTCATTGAAAATTTGCGGAATCAAATTGGAGTTTCCCTGTTTCATGCATGAAAAATTATACATCGCGTGTTCATAAGTCAGAAAACAATCATCTTTATATATTTACGCACCGCAAAAAAAAAGCAAAAAATGTAGGTAGTACATCAGAAAGTTTTAAATTGATTAAGGATATAACTGTGTTACATTCAATGTAAATAAAAATTTTGTATTAAGTTTTGACTATACTTTTCACAAATATATGTAGGTGATATACGAAGTTCACCGGGTCGTCTAGTTACGGATAAAAAAAACATTTGAGATATTTGGAAGAAATATTAACGTGCCTTCAATGTAAATTAATTTATTATAAATTTTATAAGATAGATATTTTTAATAATAATATAAAAATTAGTACTTAGATTATTGAATAGATTTTTGCGGTGGTTCTTCAAGATCGTACATCTTTAGCAGTAACGTTGATATTGTGTACCTCAACAAATGAAATTTAGAAAGACTCAATTCAAATAAGTATTTTTTACCATTACTCAGTGTCCATTCCATCAAAATTGTCGGTTCCATTACACGTGACAAGACACTGAAAAGAAAAATAATTACAAAATAAGTTGATCAGTTTACTATCATAAAATATCTACCTAGTAGAAATTGTTATATCTATCCTCCAACGACATGATTTTATTGTAGGGTAGAATTTAATTTTTTCCGATAAATTGGTAATTAATAATGGTCGTTTTTGCCCGTAAAGTACTGCACATAAATCTTCAATGCATTCATTCTCCATACTGAAAATAAAAAATTTAATTATTCTAGTTTTTTTAATAAATAATAAAAAATAAAAAAATTATAATAAATGACTTACTTTAATTCTTGTAAGCATTTCTTAAAATCATCAACTTTAATTATCGAATCAGGATATCTCAAATGAGTCCTAATGATTTTTAAGACTACCGAGTACCACTCATCGACATTTTCCTGAGACAAATTGTATTTTTCTGAAATACGGTCCAGGATTCCATCTTCAATATATTCTTGTTCTATTGATTTGACAGCTACTGTAAAATTAAATAAATAAATTAATTAATTAATAACTAGAAACTAAGTAGTATGACATTTAAATTAGCAGATATTTGATTATTTTTTCATTTTTCTTGAAAAATAAACTAGATCTAAAAAATTGTATTTATAATGAATTTATTAAATCAATGTTTCTTGCCATAATTTATTTGTTAGAATTTTTTATGTTTATAACAATTAAATTATTATAACAAAATTTTAATAAAAAAATTCCACATCTATAAATTAAATAAAATTACGAGTGCAAACTTTTTAAAAATAATTTTTTTTTTATAAAATTAAAAAAAATTTTCAAATGTCAGCTGATGTCAGTATTATAATTAAATACTAAAGTTAGACGTTTTCAATTTTTTAATTTTTTTTATATATTAAATTGAAAAAAATATTTTTTAAAAATTACATTTATATTTTTAGAATTTTATAAATGAAATTTTTTTTGAAATAATTTTTTAAATAAAGAAAAAAAAAAAAAATTTTTTAGATGTCGGCTAACTTAATTGTCATTAATTAATCTGATATCTCTCAATTTGAGTATTATCAACTAATTAATAAAAATAGTTACACTGTATTAATGGACGTAAAATAGTTTTTTTCAATTCAGTAATATATTTTGTTTTATTGCTCAATGAATGCGTTAATTGTGTCAAAGCAACAGACATGTTAATTATTAATTTTCTAATTGATTGTCATAAATAAATATAAATTATAACCTGAAAATTGGAATGTACTAAACGTCACTTTTTTTGTGTAATATGTTTATTGTTATTATTTATTGTGGAAACTAGCTTACCGACAGAAGGTAACAAAATGACTAAGACAGCAACTTCTTGTAGAAATTTTTTATAATATAAATGACTATAGTTTCCGTTTTAAAGCCACATCACACAAGTAAATTGAAACGTTACGTATTTTTTCATATAAAAACAAAATTACTGTCAAAAAAATAATTTCAATGAAAGATAAAATTACTTATAGTACCAAAAAATAAAAAAGTAAGTTTTTTTTTCCAATTAAAATATTTTTACTAACTAATTTAATTGTTTTTCAGAGTAACAGCTTTCAGGTTATCAAGATTTATAAATTTTTATTATTATTGTTGTTATAATAATCATTGTGATATTTATGTAATTTATTAGTTATATATAATTGTAATTCAGACAAAATTAGTATAGTGGTGAAGAAAATAATTGAATTTATTTCTATAAACGTTTTATATTTAAAAACGAGTAATTGATTGGCAAATTCAATTATCTGTGATAACAATGACAGTTGGATGAATGGAGTAAATAATAATAATAATAATTGAAATAATAATAATAATAATAAATGTAAATATTGAAGTAATATATGATCAATATATATTTAAATGCAAGGTAATACTATTAAGCCCCACTGGTGTAATATCCAATTAGCAATTGTGAGAAAAAGGAAAAAATGTAGACCAGTATGTGGAATTTGTTTCTAGTTTCAATAGAAACCAAAAAAATTAGCTAGCACTGCCACTATTTTATTTTCAATATTGTTTTTTAGTTTAGTTTTAGAGATGAGTTTGAAAAATTTTATTAAGATACTTATTTTTTTTGTTGTTCTTCAGCTAACGATGTCCGATAACGATAACAAGCCTCCGGATTTACCGGATAGTAACAAAGAAGACGACAGGAGCTCTAGTGATTTTAATTTGGGGGACAAATGTGAAAATCCTCCCCCGCTGATGGATTACAAAAATATTATGTTGAAAAATAAGTCAGATCTAAAAAAGAAAGAAGAAGTTGTTCAGGTATTTTTTTTAAGTGAAATTCTAATTTACTGTTGGATTTAAAAATTAAGTTTAAAGTTTTAAATTTTTTTTTTGCCATTCTATTGAGAATCGCTAAAAACGTAAAAATCTGCAGAAAAAAAATTTTTGACGCACTAACGCCAAAAGGGCGTATAAAAAAAATCAGGATTTTTTAAAATTTCAAAAAACAGTCTTTAAAATTGTCCGGAGAAGGTTTGTATAAAAAAAAAATTTTTAAAAGTAAAAATTTTCGATGGTAGTAATTTTAAATTTTAAAATTAAAAATTTTTTCGTGTACTAAAATGTTGATGTTTTTTATAAATTTCTTTTTTTCGGACGGAAATGTAGAAGATGCAGATAGAGAAGGTGCAGGAATTGTACCCCAATAAACTTTCCGTATTTTTAAATTAGTTTGTTCTTGTATTTTTTAACATCGAATAATTATAATAATTTCTTACCCGCCATAGCTTCAATAAAAGATATATTTTTGTTTAATTGTATACGTTAAGCGCGAGCGTAGGTATGCTTTACTCTCGCCTAAAAATTCAAACCATCGATTCTGTTGCGTAAAATTTTAGTTAAAATTCATAATATGTATATATAGAGTGAAAAACATCTTATTATAAAGAAGAAATTACCAACCAATCGTCAAATAAATTTTTTGAACTGAATATAGATCTGATAAAAACTTTATTTTCGAAAAACGGGGTAAAAATAATAACTTCCCGATTTTATAAAATTTTTTATTTTCTTAGCGAAAAGTTTAAAATTATACGCCTTTTTGGCTTTGGAAATTTTTTTTTCATTTTTAGGCTTAGAACATGTTTACAAAACGAATGGCACTAAAAAAAAAATTATACGCCCTGTAGGCATTTAGCACGTGATTTATTAGTGTTTAAAAATAAAATCTTTATTATTAAATTAAATTATTTTTAATTTTACAAAAAAAAATTTTTTTTTGCCAGGAATATGCTGAAAAATTAACAAAAATAAAATCAAAAGTAAAATCCCGTCGAAGCGCTGACACAAACTGGCCATCAGCAAACGAAACAATGTCACCTTCAAAATTCGAGCTCAGTGGCACCAAAACATCCTCTTCAAAGAGTCACCTGTTGCAGCAAAAATTAGAAGAGAACAGAAAAATATTTGAGCAACGAAATAAAGACTTAATCGAAAGTAAGCGCGCGGATGAAGTAAAGCTCGAAGAAATCCGCCAGCAATTGAACAGCGAGCCGATAGTCAACGAGGACAGTAATCTTAAGTATCTAATTGATGATAAAGACAAAAAAATCTTTGATCTTAGTAATAAAATAATGGAGCTTGAGTCTCTGATTGTTGATCTTAAAGACAATTTAAACAACAAAGATTCTGTGATTGAGTCCAAAACCAAAGCGATCACTTTGGTGTCTGACAACTTGTCACTGAAGAGCAAAGAGACTTTGGACCAACTTGCTGATACTAAGGACGAGATGCGAAATATGCAGGAGAATTTCATCCAGCTTGAGAGTAGTTTTAAAATAAAAATAGACAGCTTGATCACGGATATTGAGGAGAGAGACAAAAAAATCAATGAACTCGAAGAAGAAATTCATAAACCTCAGGAGAGTGTCAGTACTGAGACGGATGAAACTTTAGGAAGTAATCAGGAGGTAGATAATCTTAAAAAAGAGCTCGAGGAATTGAATAAAAGTATGATTAAAATGAAAGCGCAGAATAAAAGCAAGTTGAAAAATTTACAAAAGCGGTTGGATAGTTACCAAAAGGTAGAAATTTTTATTTTCTAATTAATTTTTATGATACTAAAATTTCCAGACATCTGACAATTCTTTTTTATAACCAATTAATTATTGTAAAAAATATATTTTGAAAAATTTGCATTTAAGGTAAAAGATCCAGTTATTGACACTAGCCTAGTTACTGACACTTGCAATTTTATTTTAATAAAAAAAAAACAAATCAACTCTAATAAATTAATAAATACTAGCAACCTTCCAGTCACTATTTAACTGCCGTGACTTGTGAAGTATAAATAAATAGAATTTTGCTTTATTGAATAATGACTTTAGTTGTACTGTAATTTTTTAACTATGGACGTATTTAAAGATATAAGCTCATCCCGATGTTACACTCATCAAGAGCTTTCATTTGAGTATCCACATGCATTTTTGATATATTTTTCATATGTACATCTATATAATATATATAAATATATGAAAAATTGATGTGGGTACTCAAATGAAAGGTTTCGATGAGTGTAATGACGGGGTGAGCTTATATCTTTAAAAATGTCATTAGTTCACAAGATACAAGGTCATTTCTTAATTATGTACCTAGAGATACAGCATTTTCGAATGCAGCCTAAATACTTATAAAAAATTGACTATTGGTGAGACTGAAATGAAACCTTGAAAAGGCACAAATTCAAGTCAAGACTTTTGCAATGACATTAAATTTCACTAAATAAACCAATTTTATCATATGACCATCCTGGCCACAAAATTTCGCTTATTCTCTTAATAATATAGATAATTTTTTAACTATAAATTTCAAGATAATTGTTTTTTTGAGAACATTTTATTTTTTTAATTAGAGTAAAATTGCAAGTGTCAATAATTGGATCTTTTGCCTTATAATTTTTAAAAACTTCTACATGTGGAATTTTTTTATTATAATTTAATTGTTATGAAAATTAAAAAAATTGTTTGATGTCTGTTAAATTCAGCATAATTAATTTTCTTATAAATTCAGTGAATTTTATTGTGTTATTTTTCAGTCTGCGGATCCAAACGACCAAGTGGTAAATTTGATCAACCAAGTTGCAATTTTAGAAGAAGAAAAAGGTAATCTGCAGCTGAGTCTTGTAGACTTTGATGACATTAAAGGTAGGAATCATTAGCTAAATTAAAAAAAAAAAAAAAAAAAAAAAAGAAATAACCAGTTAGTTGTCGCAATTGGTGATGGGTTAACATGCGATTTATTTGTATTTAGTTGTTTTGTTTTTGTTGAACTTGTGATAGATTATTGAATATTGTGATACCTACTTTAAATGTTGTCAAAGATTACAAGCCTGCAGTATGTAAGGCATTTATGAGATTATTACTTTTTGTCTAGCAACCAATCAAGAGTTGCAGACACGAATAAGTGAATTGAGTGAGGAATCTGATAAACAGAAACTACTAATTCAAGAGCACATTGATACGATATCGCTTTTGGAAAGTCAAAAGTTAGACCTTGCTCAAGGTGAATATTTAATATTTATTATGCAAGCTTTTGTAGGTTATCCTTTTCAGTGACAGTAGTCGCGACGACGATTACTGCGTTTTTAAATACTACTAACAAGACCCTTGTATGCTTCCCTAGGCGCCTCTTTTTTTTTTTTTTTTTTTATTTTTTTTAATTAATTTAAAATGATTTTTTTTATAGAATTAGACGAAGTTAAACAAGAATCGCTGAAATTGAAATCCGAAAATTCTGAATGCGAAAATTTACGAGTTACCGCTGAATTGAAAGTCGTCGATTTAGAAGAACAATTAGAAGTACTTCACAAGCAAAGTAGCAAGACTGATGAAACAGATTTTGTTGACAACGATATGTTGGCAAAATTGAACGACCTGCAAGATAAATTCAATTTAGCGATGCAGGAAAAAGTCTTGTTAGAAGAAAAATTAAATAACTTTTCAAGTTCGGCGAGTACTGAAGACCAAGAAGTTGCTTTGATGTCTCTTAAAACAGAGATTGTTAATTTAAAGCAATTGAATGAGGAACAGCGTGTGTTTATTGATGAAATTCAGTTGCTTTTGTCCGACAACCAAATGGAGTTGGCGGAGAAAAATAAAATGCTTCATCATTATGAAGGATTAATCGACAACTGTACGAAAATTCAGGGCAAGTTGACTGATTTGTTGATCAAAATTGACGCTGGTGATATTTCTTCCCTGGAAGAAAGGTTGGATGACCATGACTCCGTTGTTTCAAAGCTTGAAAAGCAGGTCCAAGAGAAAAACAAAGTTATCGAGGAGTTAAAAGCGCAACTGGAGAGTCTGAACAGTGAGAAAGAAAATATTGTCGGTAAATTAAATCTTAAGTATGATGAAGATGTAAATATGCTGACAAAGTTGATGAGTGGGCTGAACAGCGAGCTTGAAGATACGAAAAATCAATCGGATTTAGATAAGTCGAGGATCGAAAGTCTTGAAGAAAGTTTGAGATTAAGAGAGCTTGAAATTGAAGAGGGAAAAAAATTAATCGAGGAATTGAATTTAAAGATTGAGGAGAAGTCAGAAGAGTGTATGAAGTTGCTGCGAGAAGGAAGTGATGACAAGGTTGAGAAGATCGATAATTTGACGAATAAAATTCTGGATAAGGAGCAGGTTATCGAGACCTTTTTGAAGGAAAAAGAAATGCTTGAGGGGAAAATTCATGAGGAAACTGTTAAAAATAATGAGCAAATGTGGGTGATTGAGGACTTGAATAATCAAATTTACAAGTTGAAGGCCGAGATGGGGGAGAAAGAAGCTAATTTAATGTCAATGTTAAATGAAAAAGAAACCCTTGAGAGTAAGTGGAGGGACGAAGTAAGCGAAAACCAAGGTAAATTAGAGAGATTAAACGAGTTGGCGGAAGAAATAGATAGTTTGAACAGTAAACTTATTGACATTGAAGCCAAATTCAATGAAATATTTAACGAAAAAATGATGTTGGAGGACAAAATAAAGGATAGTGAAGATAAATTACGGGTAATTACCGACTTAGAGAGAGAAATTGACATGTTGAAAAATGACTTGAGCTCTAATGACAATCTAATAGAGTCGCTGACTCGCGAGAAAGAAGCTTTGGAAGCTAAAGTAACAGTCGTTGAAGATTTGAACAATGAATTAGTGGCTCTTAAGACCAAACTGGCTGACAGGGATAGCGAGATCGTTGAACTGAGCAGAGAAAAAGAAATCCTGAGAGAAGAATTACAGGTCAAGGAGAACGAGTTGAGGGCTATCGATGACTTGCACAGAGAGCTGGAGAATGTTAAGAGTAAGTTAGCGGAGAAGGACGAGATGATTGAGTCTATTTTGAAGGACAAAGAGATCCTGGAGGACCAGCTTGGACAAAGCGAAGGCAAGTTGAAAGTTTTCAATGACGCGAATCATGAGTTGGAAATTATGAGACACAGGGTTAAGGAGAGCGAGGAGATTATCGAGTCAATGTCCAGGGAAAAGGGAATGCTAGAAGAAATGCTGAGCGAAAAGGATGAAAGAATCCGGTCGCTTGATCAGATGTCGCAAGAGATGGAGATGATGAAGAACCAGATGATGGCTGACAAGGAAGTTATGGAGTCGATCTATGCTGATAAGTCTGTTCTGGAAGATAGGATCAAGGAAGAAATGAACGAGAACCAGAGTCTGCTGATTAAAATTCAGGAGTTGTTGGCGCAAATTGAGGAATTAAAGAGAGAATTAAGTGGAAGAGAGGCTGAGTTGGAAGAAAACTTTAGAATTGTTGATGATGTTAAAATGCAGCTGAGGAATCAATCAGAGTACTCGGAGAATTTAAAGGTACAGATTGATTCTTCAAATCGGATGATGGAGCAGATTAAAATCACGCATGTTGATGAAATAAATGCGTTGAGGAACCAGTTGGATTCTACTACTCAAGATTTGGAGGTGAAATTAAAAGAAATCGAGGATTTGAGAGCAGCTTTGAGTGATAGAGAGAAATTAATTGGGAATAATTTAACGGAGGAGGTCAAGATTGAATTGGAGAATAAAATTTTCCAATTAGAACGTCAGCTTGAAGATGCGAATAATAATAGCTCGAGCCAGCTCCAGAAAATGAAAATCATTGCCGCGAATTTAAAGAAGAAATCTATACAGTGTCAGGAGTATGAGATGAAATTGAGTGAGTATGATGAAAAGTGGGAGAATGAAGCTAAAGAAAAAGTTCTGGTGAATGAAAAGTTGGTCAAGCTTGAAGCAGAATTAGTTGAGAAGAACAACCAGACTGAGGAATTGGATGGATTGCTGAAGAATAGTGTTGAAGAGCTTGAAGCTTTGAGAGCCGAGCATGAAAATTTAAAGCTTGAGTTCACAAGAGTGGAGACGTTACTGCAGGAAAATATTCGAGAGCTGACGGCGACCAAGAAAGAACACGAGAGACTTAGAGAAGAAATGAAAGAACGGGTGGAAGAGTTGGAAATGGTTAGAGCAGAGAGTTCGAGGAGTAGAGAAGAAATAGACAACGAGCTTGAAGAGACCAGGGAAAAGGCTCGGGAGCTTGGTGTCAGAATGCAGGTCATGGAGGGTGAGTACCTAGAGCATTTAAATACCATCCAGATGCTGAGGACCGAGAATGGGATGCTGATGTCCAAACACGCACAATGGAATGAGAAGTTAGAGAACACCGAGCTTGATTATGAGAAGAAGGTTAGAGAGTTGGAAGAGGTTAAGGGTAAACTTCAAGAAGAGTGTGAGAGGAAGAATGAATTGTTGAAGGATAATGAGGTGAAGTTGGAAGAAATGGTTCGGGTTGTTGAAGAACTTGAGGAGAAAAATAGGAATTTGGAAGAACAAATTGCTGTTGTTGAGGAACTTAAGATTAAAAATAGTAAATTAGAAGAAGAAATTGCACTTGTTGAAGAGCTTAAAATGCAAAAGAAGGATTTGGAAGAACAAATTGCAGTAGTTGAAGAACTTAAGAGTAAAAATCATAAATTAGAAGAAGAAATTGCACTAGTTGAAGATCTTCAGAGTAAAAATAAAAAATTAGAAGAACAAATTGCGGTAATTGAAGATCTTAAAACTAAAAATAGTAAACTAGAAGAAGAAATTTTAATTATGACAGAGATTAAAGCACGGAATAAGGATCTAGAAGAACAAATTGAGGTAATGAGTCGAGAAAGGTTATCAATGACAGCCAAAGTTGAGTCTATGGCGGCTGTACAAGAACCAGAAGTCGTTAAAGAAGAAATAGTACAGAATTTAGAACAGGTTGAAGAACCTGATGTAAAACTTGGCGATGAAGAAGAATGGGGCTGGAACGCGCAAGAAGCGGAGATACCAGGTGTGCAAATCACGCCTTTTTGCACCCAAGAAACTCAGATGCAAGCTAAAATAGCTGAGCTGCAGGACACAATAAAAGATCTGGAGGACGAAAAATCTCGATTGAGCAATGAGTTCAAGGCGATGCAGATTAAAAATGCCAAGTTGATAAAGAAAGTCAAGGAGTTTAAGATTCACAATGACAATTTATCCCAGCAATTGAAGCTCCAGATGAATTCTAATAAATTTAGCGATCTGGATTCGGCGATTGAGGAGGAGCTGAAGAGCCAAGTGACCCAGTTGGAGCAAAATTTGAGTAAAGCTAAGAGTGAGTGTGAGAAAATTGCTGGAGAAAGGGATAATTTGTTGAAGCGCATTGATGTTCTGACGGCGGCTAATGAAAGCTTTTTGGAGATGAAGGAAAGACAAGATCGGGATATTGAGGTAATGGTAATTAGAAATAAAGAACTGAGCAATAAAATTCATCTGCTGGAGTCTAGAGCTCAGGGAAGTGGGGAGAAAATCGATGACTCGCATGAGCACGGTGAGGAGTGCGAAAAGTGTAAGGAGAAAATAAATGAGCTGCAAGAAAATTTAGAGCTGTTGTCGAATGAAAATGAGGAGCTAAGGCGGCTTATTGAGCGCGAGAAAATGGAACTGAGTATCCAGAAAAAGGAGATTGAGGAGTCGAGAAATTTAGCGGAGGGTATGAAGGTTAATTTCTACGATATGTTAGAAAAGTCTTTTACTAAAGAGAAAAGTTGCTTGGACAATTTAAGCGAGGTGACGGAGACCAAAGAGAATGTTGAAGAAAATCTTGAGAGTACTTTGAAAGAAGAAAGGTTAAAGGTACAGCAACTGGAGGGGAGAATCAAGGCGGACGGAGAGCTGATAAGTAAATTAAATTCCCAAGTTGAAGGTTTGAATTCCGAAGTGGCCGTCAAAGAAACCCTAGTAAGCGAGGTAAGGGGACAATTCGAGCAAGTTGAAGCTGCTCTCAAGGCTCAAGTTGAGCTGAAAGATCAACTAGAGTTCGAGCGTGATAATCTTTTGCATTCTATCCAGGAATTAAATGAAATAATTTATCAAAGCTATTCCAAGTTGCAAAGAGCGACGAAAGAACTTGCAGAGCGTGATAGTAATATTTTACAAATTGAAAACAGTCTTGGGGAATTGCAGAGACAGTTGGAGGCGGTGAATGAAGAAAGAGACCGACTGAGAGTTAGTTGTGATCAATTGGCCGATGAAATAAGGTTAAAGACCGAAGAAATAGAAGTTCTGAAGGTAAAAGTTAGAGAGTTTGAAGAATTCAAAGTAGGACATGAAAAGCACTTGCAGGTTTGCGAGAGTGTGCAAATCAAGTGTCTGGATGACCTCGAAGGGGCGAGTGTCGAGAAAACCAGGGTTGAGCGGTCTCTGCTCTCTTTAGCGAGCCAAGTCTCCGGGAAATCTCTTGAGTATACGGAGAAGGACTTGCGTATAAGAAGTTTAGAGGAAGATTTAGCTAAGTTGGAGAAGGAGAGAGACAACTGTTTGAAGAGTTCTCAGGAGACGGAGAGCAAATTGACCGAAATTACCGACGCAATGGCTAACGTTACTGAGTTATTGGACGTGAGGGTCCAAGAAGTTGCGGACTTGAAGCAGTATATCAAGACACTTGAGATAGATAAATTGAGTATTGATGATTTAAATGCAGAAATACGCAATCTGAATTCCAGGTTACTGGAGAGAGACAGCGAGTTAGAGGAAGTTAGTAGTAAGTTAAGAAAAGAGTTGACGGAGAAAATAGAAGAAATAAATTCGTTGCAGTCCCAACTCGAGGAATTAAGTCAAACTGTTTCTAGCTCGGGTGTCCATGAGGAAGAAAATAAATTACTCAAAGAGACTATTAATAATAATGAAGTACTTATTGGAAATTTGAGGGTAGAAATTCGAGAGCGGGATGATAAAATTGCGGAGCTGCAGCGGCAGGTTCAAGAGTGTAATGAAGAAATTGTTAGGCTGAACCACGTGATTGCTGATTATGAAGAATCTTCGAGTTTGTCTGTTAAAAAAATTACAAAACTGACGGAAGAAATATCCAGGATACGCGGTTTGGAGGCTGAAATCGGTGAAATAAAAGCCGAGCATCAGCAAACGGTGGATAGTCTTCAGAACACGGTTCTGGAAAGCAAACAAGCGATAGATCAGGTTAAAAACCAGCTCAATGTTAAAGATGAAGAAATAGAAGACTTGAAGTATATATTAAATGAAAGTACGTATCCAGTAATAATTCAAGAACTGCAAAATAAAATTGATACGCTGTATCAGGAGAAGAATCAGCTGACGCTGGCTCTGATGAAGCAGAATAAAGACTTTGGAGATATAAATATGGCGGAGTTGAGCAAAATGGAGGAAAAAAGCGAGTTGGGCTCTAGTGAGCTAGATGTCGCTCTCTATATGTTGCATCAGCGTGACGTCAGGTGTGAAGAGCTGACTCACGAGTTGATGCAGCTGTTGGAGGAACGAGACACCTTGCAATTGAGGTTATCTAATGCAATTCGAGTTAATGAGGAGCTTAGGAAATTTACTCCAGGTACTTCCAAGCTTGAAGATGATGCTGATAGTGTCGCTAGTCAAGAGACTGACGCTGCTTCCGTTTCTTCCCAATCTGAGGTTAAGGACAAAGAAATCCTGGCTGAAAAGTAAGTTATTTTTTTTTTATTAGAAGTAGTGATTGTTAATTAGGTAGTTTGATGAAAATTAATTTAGTAGATATTTAATTATTTTTTTTAACAAACAAATTATGAGAGAAAAAAAAATTGACTTGTAGAAATCAAAAAAAATTATGAGAGCAATTTTTTAAAAATAAATTTGTTTGTTAAAAAAAAATTAAACAATGGTTAATACTGCTAACTTTAATATCATGTTAGTTTGCTGTAAGCTAGATACATATTTGAATTATTATGTAGGTTAACGCAGTTACATAATGTTGGTCATCGTAAAGATATAAGGCTTAAGGATGAACGTGAATTGAGACACACACAACAAATGTCATTAATTGCTCACAAAGAAGCGCTTAGTACTTTGCCACCAGATGCCGCTGCGAGACTCATCAATGCTAAATATACCGTCTGTATGTATATGTACTATTGCTAGTTTTATTTTAATTAACTATTTATTTGTTTGTTTATTTATTAACCCTTTGGTACTCACGTTATTCGGCTCACCTTCTTTACTCTCGCCATGAGAAAAAATCTCACATTTAATTAACATACGATTTAAACAAATATGGCGGCGGAGCGCTTACCGAAAAGAGCCGATCTACATCGTAGGGAGCCGAACAGCTCGATTTTTAACAACCTTTAATTCTCTCGCTATAAGAAGAAATCTCATATATATAGTCTTCAAAAAAAAAATTTTTTTTATTTATAATAAAAATAAGTAATTTTTTAATAAACAGTTAAAAAGAATATAAAATTTTCGGAAGGTAAAAAAAATTTCAAGTGGTCTTTCCGTTTGAATTTAAAAAAATAATTAAGATTGAAACCGCGCGTGAGTAAAATTCTCATACCATAGGTACTGAAGGATTAATGTTGTTTAATTAATTATGAGTTACTGATGTTTAAGGTAATTGGTTTGTTTATTTTGCAGCACGCGACGTTCAAAGTCAGTCGAGCGTATTACTAAATTGGCTGTGGGGTAAAAGGTAATTTTTGAGGTTATATTTCTTCTTTGTGGTTAGGTTATTTTAGTGTGATTAATTATCATACTGAAGTTAGCTGACAGCTGTTAATTTTTACAATTCTTATAATTTAACTAATGATTTTCAAATGTGAAATTTTTGAATTCAATTTTTTTCATAATAATTTCATTGATATAAAATTCTAAAAAAATTTCTAATGTCTGTCAACTTCAGTGTCATTTATTAATATTTTTAATTACTTTGTTTTAGCACGCCAAAAGTAGTTCATATGTGACATGAAAGAAGAAAAATACGTCAGAGATAACTTGTGTGAATAAGAAAAATAAAGAGAAGATTCCTTCATAATATTTTCAATACATTCCTAAAAAAGAAAAAAAAAGATAAAAAATTAAACGAAAAAAAAAAAACTGCCAAAATAAAATTATAAAAAAAGCGAAACTAATAATTTAAGTAAAAATTTTATAAAAAAAAAATAGATTGAAAAGCTTATGAAAATATTGTATAAATAAAATAAATGTGTAATTTACGTTAAATAATTATTATGTAGAATTGTATAAAATATAAATATATATATATATAAATCATAAATGAAGTAATTTATATGAAAATTAATGTTTTTGTTTTAAAAGTGTGTTTTGTTAAAATAAATAAAACTAAATTAATAACAAATATTTTTTATTTCTTCTTTTCTATTCCTTAATATAATTTTTACATAAATTTGTATATGTATTATTGTATATACATTTTAGTAATTTACACATATAAATTTCTTTTTTATTATAAGTTAATGTTATATCCAACTATTTAATGATAACACACAATGTTCTTGCGTGATAGCCGCAAGTTCTTTTAGCCACTCGTCCATAATAACGGCACAAATTACGACGTGTTGCGTGGGTGTTACGACTGGGTATCTGGAAGAAGAAAAATTACCATCATCATCATTAACTTTTAAAGACGAGTAGCTAATAATTAATAAATAGGCCTAGAAAATGAATTAATACTTGAAGCTGAAATCGTTGTTTTGTTCAGGACTATCTTCTGAAGTTACGCTTTTTAAACTTTGTGGAGGACTGTTACTTCCAAACTTGAATATTTGCGTTAATGATGAAGTCAAACTACGTCTTTTTGGTTCATCTGTAAAATAAAAAATTTTTTATTAATCAAACTGACTCGAATGAAGATTTTTGCCGAAAATATTAGTTTTAAAAAAAAATTTTTATGAAAAAATTTTGGAAAATTTTATTTTTTATGAAAAATGTCTCTTATGGTTTTTTTTATATAACAAGTAAGATAAAAGACCCAGTTATTGACACTTGCAATTTTATTCTAATTAAAAAAATAAAATGTACTCAAAAAACCAATAATCTTAAAATTTTACGTCCAAGTAAAAGATGGTTTAATTTAAGTATTTTCTCGGTGTACATCTACTTATATTATTGTATAAGTCCAATGTGGTTGTGATATAGGCATTTAAAGATCACAAAATTGCTTGACCTTGACGAGTCTAGTGTAAAGCACAATCTCACGCGCTATAAGGCGTGCAATTTCAAAAATTGAGAATTATATTAAATGATTCAAATTTGTGCTGATTATAAAAATCTTAATTTTGAAACTGCGTTTTTCTTATTAGTCTTAACGAAAAATTATAAGGGACCTTTTTTCAAAAATTAAATTTTGAATAACTTTTATTTATAAAATTTTTTTATACGACTAATACTTTCGCCGTAATATAAAAAATTGGTCACTATTAATTATTAATTGTTGTTATTTATTATTACAATAATCATTATTATTAAAAAACTTACTTCTTATAAAAGAATCTTGGCTGAATGATTCTTTTTTCATCATCGGCGTTGATAAATTCGACATGGAAGGATTATTTTTAGCGCCAATAATTCTAAACTCACGATTTATTAAGAACATGCGCGCTTGCTTAACTAATTCATCGACATTCTCAACTTTTGATAAGTATTTGTCCATCTTGTGTTTCAAAGAAGCTAAAATCTGTGATAAAAAAAAAAATATTATTTAATTAAATTAATAGCAAAAAATTCAGAGCACTTCTGAGTATAAAAAAACCGTCCTTTCACTTTACCTGAAATAACGATCTGATACTAGGCTGGAACACCAAAGACGGATTCAATAAAAATGATTGTAACAACGGTTGGTGATAAATAGCCAGCCTGCTGATTAAACCAGTCAAGTGTAAATTAACATATAAATTATTGCTAGTCATGCTCTCTAATTTCTTCAAAAGAACGTCCAAAAAGACTCCAATGTCAGGTTTACTGTTTAAGTAATCATCCTGCACAACTTTTTTTTTCACAGCTCCTTTACTGCTGCAGCTATCACTGTTAGCTTCCGTTTTATTTATTATGACACTGTCATTCCGTTGTTCAGCGACAGATAGCTCATTATTTTTATCTTCAAATTCGTCATTATTATCGTCTTCAATTGAGGACATTTCAGACGAATTTTTCATCGCAAGACTTTCGTATCCACTGCTTTCGCCCATCGAAAACATTGGGTCAATTTTTGTCGGCTCTTCATTAATTGCTGGCTTATGATTATCGTAATCCTCAGTTTTGCTTATTGCACTATCTTTATTTCTTACATCTACTTGTTCGTTTAATAAGCTTATAATATCAGACTCAAGAGTTTCTTTATTGACCTCATTATTTTGTATTTTATCTGTTTCATCAATACCTTCTTTACTATCATCATCTTCATTTAATTTAATAATATCACTTATTTTATAATTGACATGATTGTTTTCATCATAATCCAATAACGATTTAACGCTATCTAAAATATCATTATTAGATAAATTTTTAAATAATTTTTGCATATGATTAAGTTGTACTTTTAATTTTATTTCTTCCTCATTTTCATCGTCTTCGTCTTCTTCATTATCTTTGTCGAGGTCTTCGTCAACTCCGTCGTAAGTTGACGACCAGTTTGCGCACGCTAGATTACAGGCGACTATTTTCTGCCTAGCGTCAAATAAATACGCAAAATAATTCCCGTAGAGACTTTCATTGGGATTAAATCCGGAGAAACTCAGTGAGTTTAAATTTGTACTTGGCATAGACGTTGTTGTGGTTGTTGCTGTTGGTGCAGAAGTTAAATTATTAGGTTCGAATAAATTTGAAGAAGACGATGAAGAAACGGTCGATGTGAGAGGCCATGATAAACAGCAATTTGGACGCAATGATAAAAATTTTTTAGCTGTGTTACCAAATAAATCAAAGTCACGCAGTCTACGTCGCTGGGATAACATTACGTGTGTGCATGGTGATAATGCTGATAAACATAACTCTAGCATTATATCTTCGCAATTCAGGTCTACTAGTGTTTCAAAAAATGCTAGAGTTACTATACACAACTGCAATTAACCATAATTGTCTGTATTATTATAAATTATTAATGGTAAGTTGGTGGTTATAAACAAAATTTACCCTAGATCTTGTTGAGATTCTTTGAATTAATGTATCCAGTATACGACATCCATCATAATTTTTTTCTAATAAAAATTTAACTAAAACACGCAACAATCCCGAATTCGTTGTCGATCGAAAAAATAAATCTAAATATGCAGTAGCAGCGATGGATTCATCAAGAGAAGTCTAAATAAAAATAAACATATGTAAGTCATCGAATAAATTTGAAGAAAAAAAATTTATTGTTAAAAAATTATGATACTTAAATTAACAGAAATTTAACTACTTTTTAGATTTTTATAATAATTAAATTATAAAAAAAAATTTAGTAAATAAATTCCACTCTTACAAATTAAAAATAATTATACAAAAAAAAATTAACTTGAATCAAGAGAAAAATTCTTGAGTTCAGTTAAATTTATTTAAATTCAGCAAAATTTTGGTAATTATTTACAAGTGGGGTCACCCATACTGGGTCATATTTTTTTGTTTTTTTTTTTTCTTGATCAAATTGATCAATTTTTTTTTTTTTATGAACTTTTCAAAAAAAAATGTATCAACATCAAAAAAAGATAAAATAGGAATTTTATTCAAAACCATGAAAGCCAAAATTTTTTTAAACTTTTAAATGCAAAAAAGCCATCAAAATCTTTATTTTTTCCTTTTACGACATTTTTTATCATAAATTCGCCATAAAAATAAGCAGAATAAAAAAATGATAATTTTTTACCTAGTTATGGCCAAAAATGGGGTTGACTCCACTTGTAAATAATTACAAAAATTTTTTAGTTTAAGAATTTTGTTACTTTAATAAATAAATTTTTTTCCTTTTAAATTTTTCAAAATTATTTACTAGATTCAAGTTAATTTTTTTTCTGTGTATAAGTAAGAATTTTTAAAAGTAGTTATTTTTTTGTCAAAATTAATTTGTTATAATAATGAAAAAATTTATCAAATGTCTACTGATTTCAATATCATAAAAAATGACATACTTGCAAAAGTGCTGGACCCAAAACAGGAACTAAAAATCCTTGATAGAGATATTCTAGTAGCTGTTTTTGAACGGACGAATGAGTTATTTGTGATACGGCATTACAAAACTCGAAGCATTGCATCAAATGCTCCAGTGACGGAATATCGTTGACATCATCCGGAGTCAACCTGTGCCAGTCTTCATACTCAATCTCTAGCTTTCGGGGTAATAACGAGTAAAGTCCGCTTATTCCGGTAGCTAGAACTGGACAGACGTTTGAATTTTCGGATAAGTATATTCCTACTTGGTCATTTTTTTTTGACAGAGCCATGCAAAGTAGAATTGCATCGCGCGCCTGCTGTCCGATTGGTCCTTCTCGATGAACATGCGGTAACAATAGTGTAAAAATAATGAACCTTCAACATAAATAAATATTATCTTATAGTATTTACTGAAATTTCATTGTTATGTAGATAAAGATAATAAATTGTTTTATTACTTGCGTTGTTCATTCTCGGCGTGTGGATGAAAAAAAACGTCTAATAATGCTAAATTCTGCATTAAAGCTACACAAATACTATTAAGTAACATTATTAATTTTTTTTCTATGTCACAGGGCAACATATCATCGATAAAATTTTCTAATAATTTCAACAATGGCCTTGCTATCGGCTCGTGGCCTATTAAAGGCCCATTAAAGGTTATTATTAATTCAAATAATTTTATTAACTCTAATCTTATGGAACTCGTGTACCTATAAAAAAAAAAAAAAAAAAAAAAAAAATAAATAAACATCAGTATTTTTTTTTTTTAATAAACACTATTAAATGCCTCAACAATTTAATCACGTAATTTTTTAATTATGAAATAAAAAAAAATTTAACTACGGAAAATAAAGTTTGTCACTTTTAATTGATAATAAAGAAATTAATTATAGAAAGAGTTATCATCTTTTTTTTTCGTAATTGATAATATTTAAATTAAACTTATTTATGAGGTCGTCGCTTCATATTTATCATATATGCCTTGAAACTATACTACTACTAATCTAATCGCTCATGGACTTAAAAACCCGAATTAACATAAAAATATGAGTAATTAAATTGTTGACTGCATAATTTTATTTAAATGACTAATATCTCATGCTTTCTACTTTAATTACATATACATAAACAGAAAGTACTTTAAACTGAGTTATTGATATTTTTATAAGTGCAAATTACACTACGATGCAAGTTACACTTACGGCTATGATACATGAAATATGAGATATTTGTAATCTTTAAATGATAAATTAACTGTTTAGAAAATAGTAACAATACTAAAACAGTAGACATAAGATGATTATCAATTTTATGATGTGTTACTGAATTTATCAGACATCAAAATTTTTTTAATTTTTAAAATAATTGAATTGTAATGAAGAAAATTTAGCAATAGAATTTAACAAGTAGAAATTTTAAAAAATTATAAGTGTGAATTTAAAAAAAAATTTTTTTATAATTTATTTTATGATAATAATAATTTTTATTATTATTAATATTAATAATTTATTATGATTTTTTATTTGTTATAAAAATTTGAAGAATTTATAAAAATTTTATTTTATATAAAAAATTGATAATAATATTATAAAATAAAAATATACTGACTATAAATGGCATTTAAATTTTTAAATCACCAAGTCTTTAAATGTAACTTTTTTGTTTTGATCATTTAAATTCCTATTGTCTGAGGTCATGTCTAAATCCATGTGATATTTATACAATAAATAACACACTTCACTTGTTTCCATATTTCTTGTTAAATTTCGAACAATAGGGATTATTCGAAACGATTTGTTCGAACAATAAGTCATTATTTAAACAAAACAAAAAAAATATTTAATTACACTAAAATTAGCAGACAATTTTTTTTTTTAATTAGAAGAAAAACTCCACATGTAAAATATTTAAAAAAATTTTTTAAAAATATTTTTCAGCTCTAATTTAAATAATAAAAAAATTGTTGAACGTCTGCTGATTTGAGTACAATAAAAATTAAAATACATCTTCTGCTTTCAGTATCATAAAAAAAATATTTAATTAATTAATTAAAAATTTCTAGTGGAAGATTATACCTCCCAACATTGAGACTCCAATCATAAACAATGTCGAGCAAGTTTTCGCTCAACAAGTATTCCAAGCAAGGTGAGTGTGATGACGCAGACAATTGTTGGTTTTTAAAATTAAAATTGCTGCGGAATTCAACTAGCAGGAGCGTTATCATTTGATCGATATGATTTATGACAGCAACTACGTCGTCGTAGACAGGCAAGTTTGTTGATGACTGTAAATTGGTAAAAAGTAAATAATAAATTCAAGGTTAGTAACTGACAGCATGAGAATTATCGGATTGTATATACTGTTTATATGGTAAATAGTATATGTAATAATAGTGAATAGTGTCAAGTGCGTGGGTGTCAACAAAAGGTGTTGACCAAAAATTGACATAACTTACTCGTGTTTGCTTAATAATTTCATTTGTTTGCTGCCAGTGCTTGCAAAAGCTGTCATAGCAAGCACTAGGATCAGCATCCTTGGGCGGTGAATCTCTGGACCATTGTTTATTTAAACTATTTCTCAAAGGGCTGTTTCTCAGCCAACTCATTTTTATTTTTTTTTTTTTTTTATTGAACGTACACTTATATTTATATTTAATACATCCAGGTTATTGCTCAAAGTATTTTCCTTATTACATCTTATTTCAGGTGATTAACATACGCGACGCATGTTTATGCTGGTACAGATGCAGATAATCAGGTAATTACTGTTACTGCTATTGCTACTTAACAAACACATCGTAGATCTTAGATTTATTAACACACACCTCTACTCATCTCCGAGCTCCAAATGTCCAATTCTTTTTTCACTTTTAAAAAAATATTTACTGACATCTGGCGGATAGAAGCTGTAAAATACTGCGCAACGTCACGCGTCGGAAAAAAGCGGGAAAATATAAATATATTTCTAATTAATAATTTTTTTGGTAAAAAAAATTCTTTATTTTAATACTTAAATCAACAAATTTGTCAATTTTTTAGATTTTTTTATAAAAAATAAATTATTATGAAAAAATTTTAATAAAAAAATTTCACATCTAAAAATTTAAAAAAGTTACAAGAGCAAATTTATAAAAAATATATTTTTTTCATAATTAATTTATGATACTAAAGTTAGTCGACGTTTTTAATTTTTTGATATTTTTTAATAATTAAATTAGAACAAAATAATATTTTTTAAAAATTGCACTTACAGTTTTTAAAGTTTTTTACAAATGAAAATTTTTTTCTTTTTTTTTTGTAGTCATTTTTTCAAAAAAATTAAATCAAAAAGTTTTTAAATGTCGGCTAACTTAATTTTCATAATTTGATGACAATTGACAATTTATTTATTTTTCTTGAAAAATAAACTAGATTTAGACAATTATTTTTAAAAAAATTGCACTCACAATTTTTTAGATCTTCTAAAAATGAAATTTTTTAAATAAATTTCTCTTGTTATAATTTATTTATTGAAAAAATTATCAGATGTCTTTAAATTTCAATATCATTTAATTTGTAATAAAAATTAAAAAAATTTTTTATGTTATTTTTGAGTATTAATAACTCATTAATTATTTAAGTATTATTTAACTAAAATTATTAAAAATTTGTGGATTTAAAACAAATAACTTAAAATGTTAATATAAATTTACAAAACTTTTTATTCAATATTATAATTATAAATCTTATTAGAATATATTTAACACAAATAGAGTAATAAAAATTTTTTCATATGTGGATACAGAGTTTTAATTAGATAATTAAAAACCTACAACTGGGTGTAATTAAAATTTCTCTTATTAAATATTGATAGCGAAATAGCCAATTCAATATATAATAAAACAATAAAATAAAACAATTTTTCAATATTAAACACCTACACTACAAGTACAGTAGGTTACATATTTAATTTTAAAAATAATGGAAATATCTGATCACTGAGAGATTTTTTCACGATTGAATATATATATGTATATATTTATTTATATATGTTTATTTAAATATTTTAAATCCCATCGACAATTGAGTACGGAGCCGCATTGAGAAAAAATGTATTAAAATTTACTGATACTTTTTATGTCGACATTTCAAATGTCACTTTTATTGTCAAAATAAATTCTTATATTTTGATATTTTTATTTATTGATATTAATTTATAGTGAGAAAAGGTAAAAAGTCTGGACTAATGATGGACGAATTAAGCAGTAGCTTTTTGTTTTAGAAAAACTCCCTCTGATCGATAGTACTCTAACACACTATTCTAATTATACATTAATAAATCTACACTCTACGTAGATAGAAATATTTTAGAAACAGTATAAAATGGACACGCTCACTATTATATTCTTCTCGTACTCTTAATATCACTCAATAACCTCACAGCAATTACATCGTACCAAAGGTAGAAATTATCTAGACTTCAGAAATATATAAATATTTTTTTTTTTATACTTTTTGTATACTTTAAGTTAGTATGTATCTTGTTAATAAATGTAATTAATAATAATATTAATTAATATTGTGAACACTGGACAAGAGCGTGATGTGTACGTGATTAAATCTTATATATTTAATTTATTATTTGTATTTAAAATTAGGCTCGTTCTAAAAATCCTTTTCGTCAGTCTTTCTACCCCGATAATCAAAATCATTCTTGTCATCCTTACAATTGATCCTTATACAAGTCACTTATTGACTAGCTCACTCAATAGCCACACGTGTCATCATCAGTCCCCGTCTGGTCAGCCATACTCTGTTGAAGATAAATATAAATTATATTATTAGCTTAATTGAATTTTATTAAAGATATACTGGTACTATCATTATTTATTTTTATTTCAATAATTACCCAAAACCAGTGCCAATGATGAGTGACAGCAAATTAGACAAGAATAATGTGTAAAGAACTTCCTTGGAGAAAAGCCCATTCTTGCCGACCTTGGCTGTGCGAATGCTGTAAGTTTTTCTTTTGGTCATGCCCAGTGGATGCTTGAATTTCCAGTCCCTGAAAAATCATTTTTATCTTAGTATATTTATATAAATAAATACACTTATTAATATGTATGTTTGTTATACTCTTTACTCTAAATAATTTGAAAGCAATTATTATCGTACTACTTTGAAGTTTTAGATGTATACCCCTATACCTAGTTCCTTGTTTATTTAAAACTGGGTCATTATGAAAATACATAAATAAATTAACACGTCTGAGGAAATTATTTATCAAGCAATGAAATACTTCAGCGAGCTCATCAACATATCTAAGTATTTTATTGCTCGTTGAATATTTTATTAACTTAACAAAATAGAATTTTAAATTTTAATTACGTTCATGTAATATGAATCTATTGTTTTAAATTATTAATTATTATTAATCGATAATGTTAATTTTTCTGAGATAAGTCAGTTATATAAATAGAATCAGAACAAAAGTTATCAGACAATTAAGATCCGGTCATTCTATTTCATATAAAAAAAAGTCTATATTATTAATAGAATAAGCGAAATTTTGTGGCCAGGGTATTTATATGATAAAATGGGTTTTTATGGTTAAATTTGGTATGGTTGAAAAGGTTTTGACCTGAAGTTGTGCCTTTTCAATGTTTCATATGCTTTTCTAAAATAGTTTATTTATTATGATAAGTTTTCGAAGTAGTTATAAATAGATTCGAATTTAGCGATAATTAAAATTTGTTTATTTATTTATTTTGTTTTGTACACGTCAATGTCGTTATATGTCAAAAATTAATTTATGTAATTAAAAGACTAAGAAAAATTTAGTAACGGGTATATCTTTATCGTAAATTAGGTTTGATATTTTTTAGCGATAGTTATTTATGATTTAAATAATTGAGAAAGAAAGCAAAATTTTGTGACGAGCATGTTAATATTTTTAAAGAAATTTTTATAGTTTAATTTGGTATCATCAGAAAGGTAGAGACAAGAATTTTAAAATTTTTCCTGGAAGTTTTTTTTTTTAAAAACTGGACCTTAATGACCCTTTGGAAAAGTCCTCAATTGCAGGGAAAATTTGACTTTTTAAGAGATTTTTCAGAGAATTATTTCCACAAGGATTCCTACAAAAAGTTTTAATAACTCTGAATAACTCTTCTGGCAGAGTCTCAAATCTTGCAAAAAATCTGACTTTCTAAGTCGAATGAAGAGTTTTTCTGACTTAATAAGACTTTTTCGGACTTTTTAAGAAAAGTAAAAAACTTTATGAACTATTACAGAGAAATTTTTCCACAAGGGTTTTACCGATTTATATATTTTTTAGTGATAGTCAATTTTTTGTGAAGGTTTTAATAGTTTTTTGGTTTTATAAATTTGTTCGGTCACATTTGTCCATTAAATTATTTGTAATTGATCCTGTAATAGCACTATTATTTTTTTAATTTATTTAAAAAGTCCCCAAACTATGTGTAATGTCACAAATATAAAAAAATCATTAAGCCAAAGTTTTCTTATTTATAATTCGTAAATCTCGACAGTCGCATGGCAACTGCAGATTGCTAGTAATAATTAAAATAATTACTTGTTTGGTGGAACTTGCTCTGGACGTGAACACCATTCATCATACATCCAATCTGATTCTTTTACCAGCAATTCACTAGCATCCTGAAAAATAATAATACAATAATTAATTAATACTTAAAAAAAAAAATAAATTAATAAATTAAACAAAAATAAAATGAATTAATAAATTTAACAAGATAAAAAATTAAAAAAAAAATAAAATTTTGATAATTATCAACCTATTTACCTGGACTTAATCCTAAGTCCAATGATTCATGATAATTATCTAATAATCTCACAAATATAACCGAGTCATACAACGTGTGCTTACTAATTACGGATTGATAAGAGTAAAAGAGCAATTAAGTAATTATATAAACAAATAAACATTGTTGTTTATAGCTTATTGTTGAACAACCGAGCAATAACTTTTAAGTCATGGTTCAAGAATAGTAATGCGTCATGTTACAAGCAATAAATACGGCATAGAATATGGGATGAAACAACAAAAGCCTATCCTAGGATAGTTTATTGAGTCTATGACCTAAAAAAGCACAAGGCAGCGCTTGTGAATCTTCAAGAATTCACACATTACATACGTGGTGTCTAATGAACTTTTCACTTCATCAAATAGTCCGCCGCTAAATTGTTTGTACAAGTTAAAGTTAAGTATTATAGGCGTACAGAGCGTCTATATAAATATACACGTGTATTTTCAATACAACGTATACCTAGGCGTAGATATTACATAGATATAGTTATAGATACTCGCGATATAAAGATCTGGGTGCAGGCGAGTGACCTTACAACTATAATTTACTACGTCGCAAAAAGTAAACTACGAGTTGAATGTACAAGTGAATAAATTTAGCTAAATCTCTTCATCTTTTCAGAGTTCTATTTTTATTATCGGCTTATAAATGCAATCAAACGCCTCGTGGACAAATTTCACGCGTGGGAATACACTTTTGGCATGGATTATTTAAATTGCCGGCGTAGAAAATTTTAAATGATATTTTATATCATTATTTATATTACATAGATCCAATTTTAAATTATGTTCCAGTTCTATGAGCTTTTTAGTTCCAGTTAAATTTATTTTGCTTCATAATTCATATCATCTAGAATTTCCACCTGTCTTCGTATTAAGATCTTTATTTTTCTTTTAATAGATTTTTATATTTAGATTTTATTCTGAAAAAAGAAAAAAAATTCAATGAGTCAATCTAAAAATTTTAATATTAATATTTCTTTAAATAAAAAATCCGATTACTTTTTTAGAATTTCTTCACAACTTTATAACAAAGAAACTATTGAAGAATTTTTCTTGTAATTAATTTCTGCTTGAAAAACTAGAATAACACAGTATAGTGTATTATATTATATTATATTATATTATACCCCATAAACCGAGGCATCAATAATGTAGGAAGTAAATATAAATTTTTTCATTACTCCCACACTGTGTACAATAAACATTAATTTAACTAGTACAGCATAGTTTGCTCGCAACTAAATTGAGAGTGGATGGCGTGAGCAGCTATCGGGCTTAGGATTGGATGAACGTCGTTTACATTAAGACACGATTAACAACCTTCAGTAATACGACAAGCGTATTACACAAATGTCGTATATAGTGAGCTGCATGAATTAACATCGTGGTGACCTCTCTTGACTCCATTATGCGGAAAAATATATTTTTTTTTCGTCGGTCATAGATATAATATAAAACATAATATGATGCGTAATGTTGAATCTAAAAAATTTTAGAGTTAAAAAAACGCCTACAAGACATTGAAAGAGATTTTTCAAAATAAAGAAGAAAAAATAATTATTTTACATTTAATATGAAAGTTATTTGAAGTTAAAGACTTAAAATAAATTTGTTGATGAATTTTGTCAAATTAATTTTAATAAATATTTATAATTCGGAGTAAATTTAATAAATTTGAGCTATTACAGCTGAAAAATAATTTTGATGAAATTTGAAATTTTTTTTAAATTAAAATAAGTCCATAAAATTTTATAAGGATCGATTAAGAACTATGCACAGAAAAAAAAATTTACTTGAATCAAATAACAAATTTAAAGAACTTTTTTTTTATCTGAGTAGAAAAATTTTTAAACTAAGAAATTTTTTTTGGTTCAAATAAATTTTCCTTGATTCAAAACAATGAAACTCTTCAAAACTATTTTCTTAAATTTTTTTTGTAATAAAATAATTTAATAATATTTCAACAAAATTATTTTCTTGGTTCAATAATTTTTCTCTTGATTCAAGTCAATTTTTTTTTTTTTTTCCGTATAGGCACAATTTTGCTAACATGGTGCGTTATATCACTATCTGCTGTTTTTCGATATAAGTCGACAAAACAAAACATCACGAAATTTTCTTAAAATAGCAACATAAGACCTGTTAAAATAGCTAGATTTCTAAAGAAATCCGCCTAATAACTTCCCATACTAAGAAAGTTTTTATTTTTCAGCGGGTTTGAATTTCGAATGTTTGTATACAAACTCGCAGAACCGGTTTTGCTGTAAAAAAAAAAAATCCGCTGTCTCACTCATCCTGAGTGTGCAAAAAATCTTGGAGTACAGAGAGTAACGCCATAAAGGACTGCTTCGTTTCCAGTTACCGATACTTAATACACAGAGCAATGTAGGTCGGAAATGTGAGACTGGTAGTTGTTGAATAAGTCTAGTAACTTTGTCTTATTATCATCATCAAAACAAATATTTTAATCATCATTATCAATATTGTCACATGTCAATGTTTACCTATCAATTGATATGAACGCTCCTCGCGACATTAGTTTCAGCTGTAATAAAGGAAACAAAAACAATGAGCGAGAATAATATAAAAAGCAGCCGTTCGATGCGATCGATCTCAGAGGACAAGGTTTAGTATATTAATATACGATTACTCATAAAGATGATGCATAGAAAATTCTGGATTATATGTACAGTTACTAATTTATTTTTTGCAACTCATTCGACAAAGAATTTACAATAGAGCAATGCTCTGGTTAATCTTCGTGGATCTCTCGCGTGACAATCAAGGCCGAGATTACATCTGCAAAAAATGCATTAAAAAAAAAACTGGTAAAGCAATAAAAAAAAAAGTACTATCGGTACCCGCAGTATTATCAGCGTTTGAAATAATAACAATAACGAGTAAATATTGAAGCGTAAGGCTTACTCAGTGACGCAACGTCTCGATCGATTTTAAGTCGCGCATGTTGTACCTTTGCTTTAAAAGGAACAATGAAGGTTTTTGCTGGTGAAAGTTGTCTCACTTTTTTTTTCTTTTTTATTACTGATAGAGTTTTATAACACAAAACTTTAATGTAATAAATAATTAAAAAAAAAATAGTTCGCCATTTTAAAAACTCGCTTTTGAAGTTCTTCTCAGACTTCCAATATGGCCGTCGCATTCTATTGCCGTATTTAGAACTATTTCTTCTACTGTAATTAAACTACAAGAGCTGTAAGTGTAATTTTTTATGACGACATGTGTTTTGACCCTTGAAATAATTTACAAAAAAAATTGGATGGATTAGTAGAATTTCTCGAGAGATATAGAGTACTTTTGCAAGACATGTACGCAATAAAGTTAGGTTAAGATGATCAATGCCCATTCATTTCAAATCCACTTAGTTAATTTGAATTAGCTTTTTAAACTATTCAAATGCTAAGTACAATCTGTACAAGAGCTGGAGTTGTGCAACAATAAACGGGTTATTGTACTGTACTAACCTTGGCACAGCTGTAATTTATATATACTCCTTTGAGATCATCGTCAGTAGATCGCTCGGTATTAGGACTGTTGGGTGGGCTCTTGGGACTAAAAAGTTTTAATTACATTAATTACTAGATCGAGACTGATGATAATTGACGCAAACTTACCTATCTCTGGGTGTGTCTCGCCGCGAAGAAGCTAGAGAGTGTCTCGCTGAGGAGTGTGTCGAGTCCCTTTGGGCTTCTCTTAACAGACGAAGATACTCTTCTCCACCACTTCCGAATGGCAAGGGTGTTATTCTGTCAGCCAGCTGCGCGGGGTTTAATTCCACCCATGACTCTGTTGATTACATAAATTTAATAATGCTTTATTTAATTTATTAATTAATAGTTTATCGACCTTAGTTATTAATTTAATCAGTTGCAAGGCTGCTGATAGTTCAATTTAATTAGATAATTTGATCTTTGATTCTAAACTGTAATTTTATCGAAGATTTTAAAATACTGTCTTCATAAATTATTTTTAATAAGAATAAATTAAGTATGCAAAATAATTCATTTTGATTTATAGAGACAAAATTTATGGATAATTATTAATCAAGTGATTTAATTAAATTTTGCGGCAATTAGTAAAATATTACAATTGTTTTCAGATTTAATTATTTAATTAAAAATCAACGTATTTAATAATAATAAAGTTAGCCAACATTGTTATTTTTTTGAGTTCTTTTTTTTAATTATTAAATTAGAACTAAATAATATTTAAAAAAAAAAATTGCATTTACAGTTTTTTAAAAAGGAATTTTTTTTTTATTTTTTTTTGTAATAATTTTTTTGTATAAAAAAAATTTTTAAGATTTTTTTGATTAAAAAAATGATTACAAAAAAATAAAATAAAATTTTCATTTGTAAAAAAATTTCAAAACTGTAAGTGCAATTAAAAAAAAATATTTTTTTGTTCTAATTTAATTATTAAAAAAAAAAATCGAAAAATTAAAAACATCGGCTAACTTTAATATTATAATTTTCATCGCTTTTAATAGTCATTTAATAAATTGTAAATATAAAAAAAAAAAAGTTTGGAAAATCCAAAAGTGCACGCCTCATAATCTCATTTTTCACAATAAAATTGATTAAAATAAAATATAAAAAGCAAAATAATAAAAAACAGAAAACTCTGCTATGGTTTAGTGGCGCCATAACT